TGTCGAATTCGTCGAAAAACAAGACACACGGTTTGGCACGGAGAGCTCTGCAAATATCATCATAAATTTCAAATGTATATTTTGATGTTTATCGTCGTTTCCCTCACCTCTCGAATACGTTTCTAACAGACTCCTCGCTAACACCGATGTATTTCGACAACAATTCCGGGCCCTGGATATTTATACGCGATTTATTGACGAATTAGAATTATAGAGTTGATCAAAAATAAAAAAATTGTTCGTACTTTAATGCTGATCAATTAACACCGCATTCGTTGGCAATCGCTTTGGCAAGCATCGTTTTCCCTGTTCCCGGCATGCCGTATAATAAAATGCCATTCTGCAGTTTAATAGGGGCATTCTTGAATATCTCAGGATACTTCAACGGCCACTGTAAAATCTCTACCAGAGATCTTTTCACGTCGGCCAGGCCACCGATATCCGACCAAACGTGACCCGTGCCTTTGTACAATTGCACGCCTTGTAGAGACATCGGTGTGTAATTCTTCAGGGCGACCTCCATGTCCTCTTCTTCGATCACGATGAGAGGCTTAGAGGCATCTTACGTATAAAAAAGTATTTAATGTTAAAAAAATAATGTTAAAAAGTACATCATTGAAAAAAGAATATTAATAAGAAAAAGGTACACAATCCAAGAAGGTATGTATCTTTTATTTGTTTACAATAAATCTTATTTATTATTTGTTTGTGTGTGAAGCAAATATTGCAAAAGAAAAAGTATCAAAAGCACTTTTGCAAACATTTTCTTTTTATAATTTCGTGGCTCGCTGTGTAATGGAGCATTGAAATTTAGTGCATGTAATTATGGTAGATTTTATTACCGTGACGCTTCCAAGCAGCGAACGTAGCTTTCTTAGCCATATCCACGAGGTCTTGAAACACCCACCCCTCGGTCTTGTTTCCATAGTAATCCCAATTCACGTCTCCAGGCGTGTACAACTTATCTCCGAGCATTAATTGCAAAATATTGATTCTATCCGCCTAATTGAGTAATACACAATCGTTATAATTGTTATATTAAAAACAATCATCTCATTTATTAAATTCGATGATTTTCCAATAGAGCGATCTAAATTAAACGTTGCCTATTTTCTTTTCTAATTACAACTATCTATTAATAGTCACAAGTATGTTGTATAATTTTCTCGATTTAGTTGTTTAATAATTTTTTGACATGTATGAAAATTTAATTTTTTCACAAAAAATTATGGATAAAAAAAGCAATCGACCAAATACCTTTTCCAGATTAGGAATAGATAAAACGGTCCTAAAAAAGTGACAACCTCTAGCCGGTCTTAATTTCTGACCTATCTTGTTAACACTTGCACACGTCGCAATTATTGACACTTGATATGATTCTTGATATTGCATCACCGTGTTACTCAACATATCTGTTATCCTGACAGCAAGAAATTTCTATTGATTTTTTTAACTTTATCTAAAAAAGAAAAAAAAGAAAGAAAGAAAAATACCTGGCAGCGTTTATAGCATCTGGTGTATTCTCTTCGTCGTTCATCGATGCATTCGTTATGGATTCTATATCGTCCAGAAATATTATCGAAGGTTGATAATAGACACATTCGGACAGAGCAGCCATAATAATTTTTTGTAACATTTCTACTTTCTTCCCTACGAAAAATTAACGATACTTAAGCGTCTTAAGATATTCTTTATCATTTGTGATTTTGCATTGTATGTAATAATTTACCTTTTAACGATCTACAATCAATCGTGTGAGTGTGCACGAAATACGGTGGACTTCGCATAATGTCCTCGATTATTTTGCAAACGGCAGTCTTACCCGAACCAGCCACGCCACAAATTAAAATGTTTTCAGGATTGTATTCGAAAGGTAATTGTGTTTCTAGGCCTAGACTGAGATCTAACGCTAGTTGGCATTCCGTTAAAACTGTAGTCAAGTGACTGAAACAAAAAAAAAAAAAACAATATTCTATCAGCAAAATACAAAAACACTTACTAAAGTGTACAATTACACTTTTCTTTACACGAAGAACAATATTCATAATTGTACTCCTTTATTGTATATACATATGATCGTAATAATTATATTTCTTTGCTTTCTAAAACTTTGTTATTTTCGTTAATGATCAATTTTATAACTTTGTCATTTCAAAAGTATTTATTATATCATCTTTGGTCAAATTCTTTTTTCAAATTCTATCTCTCTTTATTAAACAATCCCTCCTCGTTGATAACTTTCTATTGATAAAATTATTACTATTTAAAATTTATCGTGAAACAAGACATATAGAAAAAAAAGAAATTACCTCGTATACGTTTTTTCTAAACGAGAATATTCTTGATCCAATTTGTCAAACACTCGAAACTGATCCTTTTCCTCCACCGACCTCGCACGCACCCTCGTATCCCTTAAAGTGGCCTCGTCGATCACGGCAAACTTGCAATCCTCCGGTGAAATTTTCACTATACAAGAACTCCCGTTATCCATTACAATAACGGCACAAGAGTTAATCAACAATTTATTATGAAGGGAATACTTTTTAACGTAATCCTCGAAATGTTTCATCGAATCTTTCCACGAAAACAGTTCGAGGGAGGACGGTACAGATATTTCAGTTCTATCCATCAACGTCAAGCTCACCTTTGCACCTACTTTTAAGTTCAAACTGATTCTCAAACTGTCCGACACATACACGCACTTATGACGTAAATTAACGTTAAAATATTCCTCGTTCAACGTGCTCGTTTTCTCTAACAAGTCTTCCAACGTATATACCCTTACTACCAATTCTGTAAAAAGATTTGGGACAGGGGACTCGTCTTTTACAAGGAAATTCGTGTTGGTTATGTTCACGTATTGCTTGTCCTCTGGAACTTTTTTTATACGAGCTATCCCAAAATTTTCCAAAAATTCTGGCGCTTGATCACTCGGAATGAACACGTGATAAGGACAACGCGCAATCTCGTCGAAGATATTCCCTTCGATCGTATCCATTTTAGGCATTGGATGGACACGATATATCGTGGGTAATTTTCTGTTGCAAAAACTATGCAACAATTCGTAATTTCTGATCGATTCGTCTTCCCTTTTCTCGATCGAATTTCGATCATTCGTAATCGGTAAAAATTTTTTGAAAGCCGAAAGCAAATTGTTCGCTATATGAGATGGTTTCTTGCCATTTTCATTCGAATCGTCATCCTTTTTATTCATTGCCGTATCGGCAATGACGTGTATCTCCGAAAATTGTTCGAGTTTGCCACATTTCACTGATGGTTCCAGCGATTCTGTAAAGAGGAAACGATGGTATTCGATTTTTTTTTTTTTTTTTGAAATAGAAGAGAAAATGAAGAAAATAATGTAAATCAAATCTTGATATAACAACTTGCCTACGATTAAGGTTACGTAAGAAAATCTTGAAACCCAAGCTACGATCGGTTGACCTTCTGCTACCACTCGTATTTGACTAAGCAATGTAGATTGTACCTTTTCTATTTGTAATTCCTGATAAAAAATATCCTGATTTTATTGTACACGATTATCAGTAAAGAAAAGTAAAATTTTGTTTCAACATTTTCTGAAACCTACCAAAATTTCTCTATCGTTCGTGGTGAGAGGTGCGACATTTATTTTTATTAAAATTGGAACATCTTTCACGAACGATACAATTACTTCGTCACCTTCTTCAATGTTCAAACTTCTTGCAAAAGTTGTGCCAATGCATAAATTTTCATTAAGATTCGGCCTTACGTTACATGACATGTAATGCGTTTTATCTTTGTGAATTACTTTGATTATATTTTCCTGTAAAAAAAATTTATAAGATATTTCAACCAATAAGCGAATAAAGCATTTTTGTTACAATTTGTTAGATTTTTTTTCTTATATTTTTCAAATTTTTTTTTCTTCATCTAACGTGAATTGCTTTTAATTTAATAAAACTTTAATATCAACTTTTGTTCTAGCTTCTAGAGAATCAACCCTCCAAAAACATCCCAATATATTAATTCTATAAATATATTTACATACCTTATGTTATGTATAAGATATACATATACTTGTAACATATAAAAAATGGATCGTAAATTCGCATAAGATTTAAAAAAAAAACAATATAATTAATAAGAAGGAAAAGAAATAGTAAGGATAAAGATACGATAAAAATATTAAGCGCCATCTTCAGAATGCCGCAAAAGAAATACCTAAAGAAGGAATAAAAAATAGTAGAAAAAAAATACAAAGAGAATAAGAACGGACTATTGGCGCTATCTTTTAAATACTAAAAATAACTCTTCAATGATAAAAAAAAAAGTATAATAGAAATAGAAGAATTAAAAATCAACGCCATCTTTTGAATATCTTTAAAAAAAATATCTATGATTCTCAAAAGATGGTGCTGACAGTTTATTCTTATTTTTTTATCTTCTTTCTATTATTTCCTATCCTTTTTTATATATTTCATTTGCCCCATTCTAGAGATAATACTGATTTTAATATTTTTGCCATATCTCTGTTTTTTTTTCACTATTTTTTTTCTTTGTCTATACTATTCTGAAAAATATGCGTTCAAGAGATAGCTCTAATATATGATTAACTTTTTATCTTCTCTCTAATCTATTAATTAAAAATATTTAAAATAATAAGATTTGTATCTTAATGCAAAAAAAATGCATTAAATATTAAGTTTATTCTATCTATAATACACACAATCAATTCTCTTTCTTATCATAAAATGATAATAGAAACAATAGATAAAATTATTAATGAAATTAACAACAAACTTTTTAATTATAATTTATAATAAAGCAACGATATTATTATTAAAAACTGAAATATAAATATACAATTATTGAAATATATTAACGAAATCTTCTTTATCAACTTAATCTCGAAGAAAAAATTAATCTCGACATCTAGTGACGTATTAAGATATCTAAAATGCAACGAAGTTAAGTTCCAATTGACGTATTAAATTTTCTATCATTACATGTATAATCAGTGTAATATATGTTTTACGATAGACAGTTCTTGATTGATTATAAGAACAAAGCACCAACCTTAGTTTCCAATTTACGTAGCCAAGTATCCGGTAAATAGGCAAAACAATTATTCACTGTTATAAACTTAACAATAAAACGTTCACTTTGCATTCTCGTTCATAAAATTACAGACCAATGAACTAAAGTTCAGAGAATACGAGAAGATATACACGTATAAAGAGAATATATGATAAATATTCGGTATGTAACAAAATTTCACAATATCAAAACAAAAGTCATATTCAGTTAGGTTATTGAACACTGAAAGTATGAAATACTTTTTGCGATACTTTTATAATTATATGATTAATTTAGATTTCTAGCTGAAGTTTTAAGCATGCTAATGTTTGCTTTAAAGTAAACGACTTAATACAGGTCAAAGGTTAATTTTAATTCTTTATTAAAAATATTAAATTCAATATATTTGTATTGATTTTTCATACTAAAAATATATCATTTAATATTGTAAATAATTATAAAATTATGTATATGTATCCTATATATGTTTATTTATTAACAAATTGATACACATATTGTATAATTTTATTGCAAATCAAGTATGTAAATTTTTAATTAATAAAATAATACTATTTTTTATTTAAAGTTATATAAAATATAATTTGCAATTAAGCATGCTCTATAATAAAAATTTATTAAAATTCTTATAAGTCATTAATTGCACAAAATATAAAAAACTTATACGGTTTAAACAATCGAAACTGTATTCAATGATGTAAGTATAATACTTATTTTGCCGATAGGTGGTGTTCATTATTTCTACATCTCTGATTGGTTGTTATGAATCAGAGCACAACCAATCAGAGAAAGTACTAACAATAACTGTGATATTTTGAACGGCGTCAACTTCAGTTGCTCTGACGACATACAAATGAGCTGTACAGTAACGTATCGGTGGCGAAAGAATTTTATAAATGAGAAACATCCTTGAACCAGAGCACATCAAATTATAATTCTTCCAATAGCTTCCAAGTAAATCAGAATATCTCATTTACTATCTGGAAATAATTTTCTATATAAAAACTTTAAACTTTCGTTTCGTATAAATTAGTGAAATTTTGGACCACTTTCTTCGTGATCGCGTGTGTTTATGGCAGTTGCAACGAATCAATCACTTCTATATATTTTGTTATTTTCTCTTGTGCTATTACTTTCAAAATCTATGTTAATGATTTTGAACAACAGTGAAATCATGTCCTCGAATTTAGTTTAACGGTATATTCTTGCTGTATATTCCCGCCTTTTTTAACCACAAACACATTTCTTGAATTTAAGAATCAAAATTTGTCTAGAAAAAATGATAAATTTCTTTTAATTTGTCACAGAAAATTTATTTAATTTTTAAGAAAATTAATAAAACATTCGCTAAAATATTACAAAATTATATTAATTAGCAAATCAAGTAACAAATTTGTTAAATTATTAAATTTAAAATATAATTTTCTTTATAATTCTATAAAGAATATATAATATTCGATATATTACTAATAAAATTATATGTTTTATTGTAAAATGTTAGATTTTTTTTAAAAAGATTAAGAATGAAATATTGTTCTAATAAATACATAGTGAAATGTGATAATTTTAGAATAATTTTACATATTTTTTCGTCTTTTATAAAAATAATAACTAATTTTTAATTAAAATTATTTTTTATATTTATTATTTTAAGCACAATACTATTAATTTTTAATAAGAAATGGTCAAACATTTTCACTAATATTTAGTAAAATTTTTTTTTTTGATAATGAAACAGTTGTTGATTGCATTTTTTATAATATAGTGAAATAAATTAAATTTAATTTATTTTTTTCTTTTTTAGAAGAAAAAAATCAAATTTTTTAATTTCAAGAATTTATGAGAATGGCACCATCAAAAATTTTAAATGTGCAAAATAAACAAAGTGGTACTAATGTAATAAGAAAAGGAATAACTACAAGAAGTCAAAATTCTGCATTAAATAATGTTTTACTTAAAGCACCTGCTAATGGTAAAGAATCTCGTGTGAAAAGGAAAGCAGAAGCATCACCACCAAAGGAAAAAACTACAAAAAGATCTGCATTAGGAATATTACCAATGTTTGTCATTTTTTTATTTTTTATTTTAATTTTTTCATTTTTTATGATATTAAATAATAATGCACATAAAATAATAGGCAATTGGAAAAACATTGGGTACACATCAAACACAAGAACCAAAGAAAGCAGTAAAAAAAACAACAGTTACTCAAATAAAATCCTTCACTCAGACAAGTTCTATTAGAACGCTCGAAAAAGGTGTAATTAAACCAGAGGTAATACCTCAGAAACCAAAGCCAGTGCCTCGTGTAAAACCGATAAAAAAGGACGAAGAAAAAACTGAAATACCTAGTAAAATTTTAAATGTTAGACGTAGTTTAGATTTAGAAAAGTCAGAGGACAGTTCTTTGTATGTAAGTGCATTAGAAGAAATAACAGATGATAGTACAAAGAAGTCCAGAAGAAGTAATATTCAGGTGAATAGTAATATTATATGATAAAATTTATTAAAATATATTAAATATAATATTTTTTAAATTATGTAATTTTTAATATTTAAATATTTAAATAGCCTGAGGAACCTGAAAAAACAGAAGTAGGAAATGAATCAAATGAGCCTCAAGTACCTGCAAAAACTCAAGAAAGGTCAGCAGCTCAATTAGATGCTGCTCCTGAGCAAATATTGCCAGAAGGAGTTCAGTGGGATTTTGATGCAGAAAATTGGTTGGATCCATTTCAAGTCTCTCATTATGCCATGGATATTTTTAATTACTTAAAAAGTAGGGAACATTTATTTCCTATTGGAGATTATATGGAAAGACAAGTATGTCTTTCGCCATGGATGAGAGCCTTACTAGTTGATTGGATGGTAGAAGTTCAAGAATCTTTTGAACTCAATCATGAAACTTTATATTTGGCTGTGAAATTAGTTGATCTATATTTGACAAAAGTAACTGTTGTAAAAGAAACATTACAATTGTTAGGTGCTGCAAGTCTTTTCATAGCAAGTAAATATGATGTTAGTATCAAAATTAAATGTACAATTTTTACTTTAAAAAAAATTAAATTTTTTCGAAGTTTGTTCTTTATTTATTTATGTGATGATTTTTATAGGAAAGAATTCCTCCAATGGTGGAAGATTTTTTGTATATATGTGATGGTGCTTATAAGCAAAGAGCATTAATTAGAATGGAAATGAGTATATTAAAAGTAGTTGATTTTGATCTTGGCATACCTCTCTCTTATCGATTTCTTAGACGATATGCCAGGGTAAGTTATGTAAATAATATATTTTTTTAAATATATATATGTTTTTTTCATATTACGATAATATGAATATTACGAAATTAATATTCAAATTATTTTTAAACAGTGTGCAAAAGTTTCAATGCCAACATTAACTTTAGCTCGATATATTTTGGAGTATTCATTAATGGATTACTCGACGATAAGAATTAGTGATAGTAAAATAGCTGCAGCTGCACTTTTACTTGCATTACGAATGAAAGATTTAGGAGGGTGGACTTCAACTCTAGAATATTATAGTGGATATAAAGTTGATGACATACGAGATATCGTACATCTTTTAAACCAAGGATTACATCGAAAAGAAACTCTTACTACTGTACGTAACAAGTACAGTCATAAGTAAGTATATAAATATTTCGTTTAACATTTACATAATTATATACAACAAAATAATATTTCAAATAATATTGAAACTTACAAATAATTTTCATTTCAGGATATTTTTTGAAGTAGCAAAGCTGCCATTAAAAGATACTTTAGATATATAAATAATTTAAATAAGGAAATATAGTTGACAGTATGCAAGATTGCCTAATCATTGATAGGTAGTCTGTAATAAAATTTGCGAAGAATTAAAATGATCACTGAGCGTTAATTTATAAATCAAGATAACTGTTAATTTATGTCATAATGAAATCATAATAAGTAAATCTTTAAATTATCTATTATCTATGCACCACAAAAAATCAAACGACTGTGAAGCTCAGTTTGAATTTAATATATATCCAAAAGGACCGAAAAATATTATAATTTTTTTTCTCTTTTTCTTTTTTCTTTTTTTCTTTTTTAATTATTTATACAACATTAGTAATCTCTATCTACAACAGTATTTGTAAGTTAATTTTTTTTTTTTTTTTTGTTTGAAAAATTTATTTTAGCGTCACATTTTTATATTCTATAAAAATTCTCATAAAAAAAAATTAATATCGTCAAAATAGTTTTATGCATGTAAAGATTAAAAATGAATCTTTTACTCATAATTTTTTACTTATATATAATGCTATTATATGATGCCTTTGATTCAATGAATACGTACATACAAATATTAATAAATGAAATTAATGAATTATGCGGCGCTCATATTTTAATGAGTCGTATAGGTTGTGGCGTATTGTTATGCATTGTTATTGCATTTTATAGACTGATAAATTGTATGCTCCTAAGGATAGTTACATACCGATGAATATAATACGTTTTTGCTCATTACACAGTATAAAATTAATAATATCAAAAAAAAAATTATTTCTTTCTTATAAAAATTAAACAAATTTAAATATTTTGTATCAAATTGCATGAAATTAATAAGTTTAAATATATAAATATATATATGTAATTTATAGAAGAATTAATTTTTCATTACATGTCATTATATATGACATCATATTTATTCATTATCTTAATTAGTTGCATACAATACAAGTATAATGAAGTGATCTATTTTTTTGAACTTTACTCGTGTCATAGTAACTACTTGTGCCTATTAATAAATATGGCATTTATATATATAT